TTTTGGGACGATAATTGGTTAGGAAATGGCAGCCTCAAACAGCTCTTTCCAGACATCTATCTGTTGAATCAGCAACATGAGGCCACTGTGCAAGAAGTTTGGTCCATCCATGGATGGAACTTAACATACAGAAGGATGATACAAGACTGGGAGGTGGATAGACTAGCTGAATTTTATGGCACCCTGGACCATTTTGGAGGATTGAAAGAAGGAGAAGACACTCTTAGGTGGATTCATCACAGCAAAGGTATCTTCACAGTTAGCTCTGCCTACAAGAACCTGAATCAAATGGGGACTCAACTCAGATTTTTGCCTTGGAAGCTTATCTGGAAAGTCAAAATTCCATATAAGGTGACAGTCTTTACTTGGTTGGTAGTTAAAGAGGCGATACTAACACAGGAGAATCTAATGAAGAGGGGAATACATATGTGTCCTAGATGTTTTGTTTTGAGCAACAGGCAGAGACAATCAACCATCTGTTTCTTCATTGCAAGGTGGTTAGACAACTGTGGCACTTATTTACCAGCTTCAGGGGCACAAACTGGACCATGCCACAAAGGGCAAGTCAGGCTATAGAAAGCTGGAACAATGAAGGCAGTGGCAGTACAGACCAAAGCAGATGGAGGATTGTCCCAGCAGTGATTTGGTGGACCATATGGAAGGAGAGAAATATGAGATGCTTTGAGAGTAGTAGTAGTCCTTTACATAGGATTAAAATGAACTGCATAATCACTTTTTGCTATTGGTGTAGTTCGGAGTATGTAGATGATCCTATAGCGGTTAGAGATATCCTAGGTCCTTTGTAAGATGAAGTAGGATCTAGTTTAGTTTTGTTTTAAGTACATGCAATTGTATGTAGCTCCATGATGTAAATTTGGGATCCCAGCCTTTAGTGCTAAATATTAATACACAAAACTGTTACCTTTGTCAAAAAAAAAAAGAGATTTTCCTTTTAAGATGTACTACTTAAAATTAACCACTTCATAAAACATCCTGAAATTCTTTCCGAATGAGGTAGAAGTCATGCACCTTAATCTATTTGGTATTAGGGGGTACCTTTATGAGCTTTTCAGCTTTCAACCTTTCTCTGATTCCAAAATTTGTTTTTTGTGTATCCTGGACTGTTAGTGAACTACTCTGCCTGGTACTTTCTTATCGATTATGATGCTATTAACTGCGTATTTTCAACGTTCAATTCAGGTAGGAGATGTTGTGCTTGTTGGGGATGAGAGTGTGATGGAAAATGAATTCAAGCTTGTTGGACTGCAGACATTGGTATGCTCTCTCACTTCTTGTTGGTTACCTATGTGGATTACTGATACCTGGAGTACCTGGGAGATATTTCTCCATGCTCCTGGTCAGTTAACCGACTGTGTCTATGAACTGAACTCTCTTTTCCATTGAACTCATTAGGCATCATATAGACGCTGCTAAAGTATATATGCAACTGGTATCGTGATGTAAATTCATTCCTTATTTCCATGGTATGATACAATGAGCTTAAGGCAATTTATGGATAAAATGTGAATATGTTTGAAACTCAAATTAAAGTCATAACAAGAAAAATTCAATAGTTAGTTTCTTTTCTAATATTTGCCCTTGAATACTGCTGGTAGAGCTCTTACCAGCGGTACTGATTAAAGAAAAACTTTTACCAGCAATGAAATCGAGTGCATACTGATCACATTTCAGGGTTGTAAGGTCAAGGACCACTTAAAAAATTGATTTTGAACATTGAGGACATTTTCGGAATAAATTGAAGTTTAAAAACCAAATCAGTATACACCATTAATGGCAGAGACCAATTTGGTTATTTACTTGTGGAGTTCATCCTTTTCCATTGAAAGCTTCCTAGACTCTGTTCTCAGTCTGATGACTAAAATTGATCCTGGCAAGTCTAAATATTTAGTTGAAATCTAGCATATTGCGATTGAAGCACCTCACAAGGGCCCTCTTTGGACTAATGGGAATGGGATGAAGGATCCACAAGTAAAGGATACTGCCTGACCAATTGCACTATGATACTGTTAGAATAGAAATAAGTATTTCCTACTTAGAATAGGAATAGGAATAGGAATAAGAATAGGAATCCTAGTTGGAAAAGGATTCCAATGTAGTGTCTATAAATAGGGTCTCAATGTAACTATTTACATACACAATTCAATATTATTTATTTCTCACATGGTATCAGAGCATTGGTGAGAAACTTCAAGTCACCGTGTCAAATTCCGGCGACGACGGTTGGGACTGATTTGTGTCATCTTTCGTTCTGAAGGTGTTGTGCGAAAGACAACACCATCACGAGGCTCGGGAAGCTCAGGCGACCGAACCCCAAGAATTTCCACCGGAAAAAACCCCCCACGCGCCCCACGCGCCGTTCGGAGGTGGAAGTTTTCCGGCGAGATCTGTTCACGCGCCGGCGCATAAGCACTGCTCCGGTCATCTTTTTTTCGAGCTGTTTTCTTCTGTTGGGGTCGCCCAGTATTTCCGACCAGAACCCATTCAGTTTTCTCTAGATTCAATCACCGGAATTAGGGTTCCGGTGATTTTCAGGCAGTTTTCGGCGAAAACAGACCACTGCAAGGCAGTTTCCGGCAAGTTCCCTGTAAAATCAGAATTTTCAGGCCACTGTGGGCAGATTCCAGCAGCTTCCAATATTTTCAGACCACTATAGCAGTTTCTGTCAGTTTCCAGCATACATACCAGTCTATGGAGAATCGACGAAGGAGAGAACGTTTTGGAAAATCTCGATCCAAGTGTAGTCATTGTCATAAACCTGGACACACTCGTGACGTATGTTATATTTTGCATGGTCCACCACCCAGTTATGATCCTATTGTTCTAAAGGAATATAAAGAGTTCCTTCGGTATCGTGCAAATAAACAAACGTCTCCACAAGTAGTTTCGGTTGCACAACCTGATGTTTCTGTTGTGGGTAATTCATTTACTTGTGTGTCACAGTCTAGCACTCTTGGATCATGGGTCATAGACTCAGGGGCTTCTGATCATATCTCTGGTAATAAATCACTATTGTCTGATATTGTTTATTCACAATCTCTTCCAGCTATTACTTTAGCCAATGGGATCCAAACAAAACCAAAAGGGGTTGGAAAAGCCAAACCCGTATCTTCTGTCACCCTAGACTCTGTTCTTTATGTCCCTGGTTCTCCTTTTAATCTAGCATCGGTTAGTCGTTTGACGAAAGCCCTACATTGTAGCATAACCTTTTTTGATGATTTTTTTCTCATACAGGACCACAGTACGAGATAGATGATTGGAACAGGACATGAATCACAAGGCCTTTACTATCTTACCTCTTCAAATTCCTTAACAGCATGCTCCGTTACAGATTCCCCAGATCTAATTCACAAACGTTTGGGACATCCAAGTCTATCCAAACTGCAAAAGATGGTGCCTAGTTTGTCTAGTTTATCCACATTAGATTGTGAGTCGTGTCAACTTGGGAAACACACTCGTGCTACATTTTCACGTAGTACTGAGGGTCGTTCAGAGTCTATTTTTTCATTAGTTCATTCTGATATTTGGGGTCCTAGTAGAGTCAATTCCACCTTAGGATTTTGTTATTTTGTTAGTTTCATTGATGATTATTCGAGATGCACTTGGGTTTTCTTAATGAAAGATCGTTCTGAGTTATTCTCTATATTCAAAAGTTTCTTTGCTGAAATACAAAATCAGTTTGGTGTTTCTATTCGTACTTTTCGTAGTGATAATGCCTTAGAATACTTATCATCCCAGTTTCAGGAGTTTATGTCTCACCAAGGAATTATTCACCAAACATCTTGTCCATACACTCCTCAGCAAAATGGTGTAGCAGAAAGAAAGAATAGGCATCTCATTGAGACTGCTCGCACTCTCCTCATTGAATCCCATGTTCCACTGCGTTTTTGGGGTGATGCAGTCCTTTCATCTTGTTATTTAATTAATAGAATGCCCTC